CCCACATCAGGAAGGAATGGGAGCCTGGGACCCCAGGAGCTGAGAACATGGTAGGGACACTGGGAGGTGGCCAGGAGAAAGCCACCCATCTCACTCCTTCCTGCTGGACAGGGCTGCCCTGCGCAGAGTGGGTAGGGGGACATCCCATGGCCACCCTTGCATCCCTGCCAGCCCCCGGGGTCCCACCATCCCCACCTGAGAAGAGACGGATCCCTGTGCCACGAGCTGGGAATAAACCTGCTGCCCCCACTCTGTGTCTGCAGTCCTGCTCCACAAGCAGCCCCCACCCAGCCCCTGCTCCCACAAAAAGGACACGGTCCCAGTGTTTGGCAACATGGTTTACTCAGCTGAGGCCTGCGCAGGCAACAGCACAAGGCGGGGTCATGGCAAGGCACGGGACCGGTGTGGGCAGAGACCAGCAGGGAGGGCATGGCGCCTGCAGCTCACCACCGGGCTGCGAGGGCTGCTGGGACCCTCGCACCACAGCCAGCCAGACCGCACCGGCATGAAGGTGCGCATGCAGAGGGGGAGATGAAAGATGTTTGCAGGGGCAAAACAGGGAGCTGTGTGCCCCCTGCCCATCCTGCCTGCCCCTTTGCCATGCCCCTATCGCCACCCACCCTGCCCAGGCCCCCTGCTCCAGCCCTGGCACCCCATGCAGCCCTGCTCATGCCCCTCATCCCAGGCGCCAGCTGACCCTGCTCCTAGCTCACCATCGCTCCTGCCCTGCCCCAGCATGCGGTAGACATGGGCCCGGCTGGGCGTCCCCTGGTCACCCTTGGTGGCGATGCTGCTGCAGGTGTCCCCAAGGCAGCGGCTGGGCTGAATTGGCACAGGGATGACGGGGACACAGCCCGTCAGCTGGCCCTTAGAGCAGGCTGGGTCCTTTGCAGCAACATGTCACCCTGCCCAGGGCACGTGGTGGGATGGCCAGTCACCCAGAGCTGAGAGCGCAGGCCACGGGGCGCCCGGAGTGCCCACCCTGCCTCGGGACCAGGGTACCGAAGTGGGCTGGGAGCTGCCTCTCTGCAGGCGTGTGGTCCAGCCAGAGGCCCCCTGGCAGTGGGGTCGGGGTCCAGCCCCAGCCCATCCACCCCTGCTCTGTCCCCTGCAGTAGGCTGGCAGCCCTGGTGGTCTGCAGCCTTCCCAAAGGGGTAGAGGGGCTGGGCCCTGGCTGATCTGGTGAGTGCCAGGACTACAGCAGAGAGAGAAGGCACCACGGCCGCCCTGGGGCACTTGGGTGGAGAGCATGGGGTCCCGTCCTCCCCACTATCAGGATTTCAACCAGGGGGCTTGGAGCTGAGCCCTGGCCCCACCAAGGCTGAGCAACCGGCACGTGGAGGGCAGGGGGGGCCACTCAGCAGGGCTGCATCCCTGCTCCGGGGACAGTGGGGCCAGCCAGTGCCCGATGCGGGGGTCCACACCGCAGTGGGATAGGGGTGCACGGCACCGTCATGCCATCAGGTTGTGGGCAGACTTGGAAGCGCCCTGGGCCCTCTGGATGACAGCTGGGCACTTCTCCCAAGCTTGTTGTTCTCGAAGAAGCCCTCGTTGCGGGGCACCCCATGGGAGCCATCGGGGAAGGTCAGGAGACCTGGGAAGGTAAGGGCTGGGAGTGACAGGGCAGGGAGCAGCATGCACCGGGGCTGGGGCCAGGGATGGAGCGGGAGATGTCGGATGGGGTCATGTTGAGCTGGGGCTGCGCATGGCTGCAGCTGCCCACGCTGTGCCAAACTGAGCACTCACCGAAGCCATAAACGCGCCCGCCTTTGAATTCACCCTCAAAGGTCATGTTGTCGCAGCGGGTGAAGACGCCAACGCCGTTGAACTTGCCCTGCACAAACTCCCCCTCGTACCTGCATGAGAGGAGCTCCTGAGGCAGCAGCTCCCCACGGCAAGTGGGGATGCCCGGGGGGGTGTGCACAGGGGTGCCACGCTCACCTGGAGCCGTCGGAGAAGGTGAGCACACCGCAGCCATGGAAGAGCCCATTCTCAAAGTGCCCCACGTAAGCGGTGCCGTCGGCAAATGTCAGCTGCCCGACGCCATGCCTGCGACCTAGGTGAGGGCAGAAACGGGCAGCACTGGATGCATGGAGGCAGGGACTGCCCCGGCGTGGTGCTGGACAGGGACACAGGGGCTACTCAGCCCCCCGGCACAGGCAGCACCATCCCCTCCCACCCTGTCTCACCTTCCTTCCACTCGCCGCGGTACTCCTCCCCGTTGGAGTAGGTGAAGGAGCCTTTGGTGAGGGTCATGGCAACAGCCTCCAGCAGTGCAGGGCAAGAGCTGGCAGGGAGAGGCGTGGAGGGTGGCTGCTAGGTGGGGGAAACAGCCTGGCTCACCCAGAGCACCCACGTCCTCTTGGCTCACCGAGAGGCACACGTCTGCCCCGGGGACAGCTCTGCTGGGGCATGCTGCAGGTGAGGACGTGACCCCAGGAGCTCAGCTGCCCTGCCCTCCCTCTGAAACCCCAGCCGCCAGGTTCAGGTTGCTGCCTGCCCCGCTGCAGGGCGCGGGGCGACGTGAGCCCATAGGGGTCACCATCCTGTGAAACATGAGTGAGCCACAGG